GCTGTGTTCATCCAGCTCTACACCTTGCTATCTCAGATTCTCCAACATCTGCAGTTCCTACTATCTCAGGAAATGAAGGATCACAGTCTCTCTCTCTCACACTCTCTCACACACACACACACACACACAGACACACACACTCTACTGGCACTGGGGACAGCATTCTGTTTACCAGTGGCCACCAGGTAAACCTAGTTTACAGATTCTGTCATGATCCCATGTGATAGCACTACTGGAAATGTCAGGTCCCATATTGAGACCCAGAATGATAGATTGTAAGCTATTTTTTATGTTTACCATGGAGGTCAGTGATCGAACAGATTTGCAAGATCCTGCCAATGTACTTTTGATGAAAGAAGATAGAAGCTTGTTGCGCAAAAGAAAAAAATGCAAACTCTTTTACACTGTACAAGTACAATTTGAAACAAACTTATTACAGTTATCAGAAAAATTCAACCATTAACAACAACCTTACAGATACTCCAATCTTAGTGAAGAGTTAACCCTTTTGTTATTCTAAAGCTCCCAGTTCTGGTGGAGCTATACTCATTATTTTTTCAGAAAATGTCAAAATTCCTTTGAAGCTACTTTCTTCAGTTTAATGTCTCTTCTTGGGACATTTAAACAAACTGTTAATTCAGCTCACTTATTGCTTAACACAGGTTCCTTAACTTCATGTCTTTCTCTCTGACACCACTGCAGCCTCCTCATTCTAGTCTCTTTCAGGACTATTTCTCCCATCTGTTTGACCTGCTGGTGTTAATGATCTATTCACTGAGAATTGTTTTGTTTTGTCTGAATAAAGTTATTCCTGCCTGAACAAACCTGTTTCTGCTACACCACCCCGTCTCTCTGGGTAGTAGAGCCAAAGCCAGCAATTGGCTGGCTGTTCATGTATCTAAATTGGCATGAGTTCTTGGAAGTGTTTTCTCAACTCACTGTTCAAAATGACTTTCTGGCCTCTTAAGCTCCCAAATAATAAGGAGAATGTTATTACGGATCTTTACTGCAATTCAAAAACGCTTACATCTTAGGGAGATAGTCAACCGAACATTCTCCAATTCCATTGAGACATTGCTGTCTATACATCACATCAGTCAAAAGGACATTTTCAGACTGTTGCCTAGAATATTCCAACCTTCTTCTCATGTTTCCCCATTGAATACACAAATGGGACTAGACATCACATAGACAGAGACGCCACGAAGACGATCCACAGCTGCTGTTTTCTACAGGGTGAACTGCAAAGAGGTGAAACTAACTTGAATGTTGATGCAGAAGCTGCTGCTGCATTCCATCATTTGGGGAAGGTTGCACCTAACTTACATACCTGTGTGATAATCAGAGACTTTGTGGCGATTTTTGAAATCGTGTTTATATGATTTAGATCCTTTGATGTGGTCACAATGCACTTTTAACTGGAAATGTGTTGTTCAGTGTACCATGAGCACAAGAAAACATCTTGGTAAAGGAGCTGAAGGTCTCGTGATATGTAGCTACCCAGAGGCTCATTAAACAGTTAGTTCTCACTTAAAATGCCTGCAACGCTTGCTAAAGAACCTGAAAATAGCTTTTCGGTGGCTAGAGCTTGTCTTAATCCCATCCCCCAGCAGTAAATGCTGTTTGTGTGCCAGAATAGCACTGATGTTGACTGAAGGGGATATACTTGTTGCTGAAACTGTGAAGTGGATGTCGGAAATAATTTGAGAGATATCCAGGACATCTAACGAGACATCACAAAGGCTCAAGCAATGTTAATCTCTCGAAACCTCTGCTCCTCTACGTTATTAGACACTTTATAAACTAATACATACTATCACAGTGAAAGACAAACAAAATTTTAAAAAATAAAAAATGACAACATATTTAGCAGAATTACACTCTGTAATTACATTACATTTTACTCCTCCTTTCTCGTGCATGTTAGTGTTCCAAACATCATCTAGGGTTTCTACTAGTTTCATAAATTTTACTCCTTTCTGCATTAAACAATCATCTGGTTGACGGCTACTTTGCACCCATTTCAATCTAGAGTTTTCTCCATTCTCCAGCATCTGTTTGAAACTGCAAATCAATTCTCAGTCTTTGTTCAGTCAAGCATTTTGTTGAATGTACATTATTCCAAAGTGATTTATTATCAGTGCAGCACTCCATGGGTATTGTTGTTGAATACTTTATATGGAATTTCTTCCAATAATTTTACTAAGAAAATCTCCCTATGTATCACCTCAACAAGAGTAATAATTTCTGCCATGAAGGTGTTTGTCTTAAACTACTCCTCTTATCTTTTTTAGCTTCCCAAGTTCAAGGGAAAAATCTACCTCACAAAACAAAAATCTGCTTGCATTTGACAGCGCATCATACAGTCTTGCATAAGGCATATCACTGAAATTAAGTTTCCTGCTCCTCCTGGCACTTCTCAATGATGGAAATTTCAAAACACAATGCTCTATTTTTAATTTCTTCAACATTTTGTTTATCCAAACAATGTATTCTTCCTGGGGATTTTTCATAGTCGTACTTACCTCTAAGATTTCATTACTCGGACCTGGCCTTGTTTGGGTACTGAGACAGTGCCAGGGATGGAAAAGTGGTTAGCAATGCTCACAGCGCCAAGGACCCAGGTTTGATTCCAGTCAACCAGCTGTTTGTGATTTGCTCATTTTTTTCCCGAATTAGGCCGGTGGACCAATTGGATCGGTTCACTGGGCGGTCAGGTGATTCTTGGAATCAGGTTCAGGATTGGTTTGTGGTGGTCACCTGATTGGCTCAGGTGAGTGTGAGTGACTGACTGGTGTATGAGGGTGAGAGTTGCCCCAGAGTTGGACTCGTCCCTGTGTGACTCAGCCAGGTAAATACTGCTTCTGGTCCAGCGTGAAAATCATTCAAACAGTGTCTTGGGGAGAAGGGGAATTCCCATTGGAAGTTCAAATTTCCAGGCCAATTCTCACTTTGTTCTGAAGAAGGGTCTAGGCCCGAAACATCAGCCTTCCTGCTCCTCTGATGCTGCTTGGCCTGCTGTGTTCATCCAGTTCTGCACCTTGTTATCTCACTTTGTTCAGTCTGATGGGACATCTGTGGGATCTGGACATGTATCTTCAACCATGCTACCAGCTGAAGATTTAGCTGGACAAATTCACTCCACAAAGTCCCAGGAAATCTTTGGAAGATCAACCAATCGAGTGCCCTTGTACAAAACCAATCAGCAATGCCCTTTTTTGATGGCAAAATGCAATATATACGATCCCACAATACATGATGAGGGTCTTCAAATTTTGCAGAAATGTCCTCATGAGACCAGCTCAATGTATTAACATGTATGTGCCAAAGCCCCAATTGTGGAGACAGGCCTAGCTTCCAACAGCATGTTGCATATGTATATATTGGATCCATATGATTGTGACAGAGTCATATAATACAGAAACAGACCCTTCGGTCCAACAGTTCATGCCGAATGTAATCCCAAACTAAATTAGTTCCACCTGCCTGGCTTGGCCCACATCCCTCCAAATCTTTCTTATTCATGTACTTATCTAAATATCTTTTAAATCTTGTAACTGTACCCACATCCATCACTTCCTCTGGAAGTTCATTGCACACATGAACTACTCTGTAGTTCTACACTACTGTGTAAATAAAAAATATGCTCCTCATGTCTTTTTAAAATCTTTATCATAGAAGACCTGCAGTGTGGGGGCAGGACCTTTGGCCCAACAAGTCCACAATGACTCTCGGAGAATCCCACCCAGACCATCCCCCTATAACCCACCTAATCTATGCATCCCTGAACACTGGGTAATTTAGCATGGCCAATCCACCCTAACCTGCACAATTTTGGACTGTGGGGGAATCCAGAGCACCTGGAGGAAACCCACGCAGACACGGGGAGAATGTGCAAGCTCCACACAGACAGTCACCTGAGGGTGGAATTGAGCCTGGGTCCCTGGCACTGTGAGGCAGCAGCACTAACCACTGAGCCATTGTGGCCCCCCCCCCCAAAAAAATATAAAAGACTTGAAATCCCCCTAGGGATAAAACACCAGCATTTCACCTTATCTATACCCCCAAAATCTTAGGAACCTCTATAAGGTCACCCCTCAACTTCTATGCTCCGGTGAAAAAAGTCCCGGACTACTCAGTGTCTCCCTATAATTCAAACCCTCCGTCCCCGGCAACATCCTGGTAAAAACCGAAAGAACTGCGGATGCTGTAGATCAGGAACAAGAACAGAAAATGTTGGAAAAGCTCAGCAGGTCTGGCAGCATCTGTGAAGAAAAAAGTCAGAGTTAATGTTTCGGGTCCGGTGACCTTTCCTCAGAACTGGGATTTTCTTCACAGTTGCTGCCAGATCCTGCTGAGCATTTCCAGCAACTTGTTTTTGTTAACATCCTGGTAAATCTGTTCTCAACTATCACCGGTTTAATAACATTATTCCTGTAACAGGGTGACCAGAAATGCCTTAGCTCCATTTCAGTAGCAGTGTGAAGTGGAATGGTTGCTGTCGAGGAAGGGACATGGTAAAGAGTACCTGCTGTGCCCCTGGATGCTGACTGATGTAATAAAACATAAGGAATAGCAGGTCACCAGGTGGTGGAATGCTCAAAGGAAGGTTTTGGTGTCTGGGTAGAACATGCACACAGACATTCTGGTGATTCACAAACCTAGACAGTAGCCAGCCAAAGGAAGCTAGACTTTTATGATTCACTTAATCCTCGCCAACGCACTGGAACCAAAAGTCGACACTGTTTTACTCATTGCTCTCCTCAGTGACATGCTTACCCCTCCCCTCAACACTCCCTTCCCACCCCCTCACTTACCCATTCACCCCTCCCCTCAACACTCCCTTACCACCCCCTCACTTACCCATTCACCCCTCCCCTCAACACTCCCTTCCCACCCACCTCACTTACCCATTCACCCCTCCCCTCACCACTTCCTTACCACCCCCTCACTTACCCATTCGCCCCTTCCCTCACCATTCCCTTACCACCCCCTCACTTAGCCATTTACCCCTCCCTCACCACTCCCTTACCCCTCCCCTCACTTACC